GCCTGTGATTAACCGACATAAAGGAATAAAGAGAATCCTTTACACCTGAGATACGTGGTCGTTATGGGTTTACTTGCCTATTCTATACATGCTCCCAGCTCTCTATGCACCCTTTACCTCGGTAATCTAGCCCACATTTGAACACTAAACCAGGCACATGTGGCTTAGTTATCTCGTTTCTTTACGTATTTCATTCACAGTTACCGCTGTTCCGTTCGGCTGAATTCTGTATTATTGCTACAACTGATCGTTATTCTTTTTCACAAATGCTTCTGTCAACTACCAGTTATCATCAACTAGCCACCAACTGCCTACATAATTCCCAAGTGCCCACAAACCTTTGAGGAGGAATGATCGTTTGTCAAATTTATTAGCCGGTGATATCAGCTGGAACTGGACTACGTGGGATCTTCTAGCCTGCCCTGTATGCTGTCAATTTGGATCAGGTAGCTGACGACTACTAATAAGCAGAAACATTTTAGATCATACGGTTAGATGCATCAATACGCCGGCAGTCGGCAGACTGGAGTAACTGGGGAGGGGGGTTCGAGAACGAGGTAACTATGAGCGAATCACGTACAATCAGGAACAAAAGGGAACCTAAGTCCCACAGAGCGCGAAGATTATGACGATGCATCATGTACCGTTCACAGTGTTACATTCACGCAGAACTCTACACCGGGAAAATCAAGAACTACGGAACTTATTCAACTCGCACGAAGCAGATAGCCAGGGTATGCACGAATGTCATCTACCAGTCGGAGTTTGGGAGGAAACTTCCGGTGTGGAGTTGTTCTTTGGTCGGAACAATGCGCATTTCCACATCCGAGTTGTCATGATGATTAGACGCGTGAACAGCATACGTGAAAAGGACGGGGTCAAAAAGGGTTCAGAGTTTGACTCAAAATTGACCGTCATTATTATTTGTTAATCGGAGGGAATTAATGGTATTCATCGGAAAAATATTTTGCATTTTATCCGAGGGAACTCGACGAAGCCTTGGGGTAGTGAAACGCATAAAAAAAAGAAAAGAGGGACGTCGTGTGCAGTGTCAATTGACTGAAAAATCCGCTTGAACAACCAAACGACGAAATTTGAAATTTCCTAATTTACTTCGCTTCGCATACAAACAGTAAAGTTTTCTTGGAGAAACACAACATTCCATTCGACGGAAACAAACAAACAATATTGCCCGAATATGGAGCAAATGTATATCAGGACCTGTAGACGGTTTGCGGTGGTCCGAAAAGTGGGATCTTCCTCTCGACCTANCGACCTAGCCAAATGCCAGCTTCTAACAGCAGAAGTTGAACTTCACACTGAAAATGAAATCCAGCTCAAGAAAGAGAGAAGTTAGGGACCTGAAGGTGATTATACCGCACGACTTCAAACCCTCAAAACAATGTCAGAGGACAGTTAACACAGCTCGAAGAGAACTCTTTCGTATACACTCTACGATTACGTGCAGGAGACCCGAGGTTCTCGTCCCTCTGTACAAGACCATAATCAGGCCACACTTGGATTATTGTGTTCAGGCACCCTACTTTCGGAAAGACATTGAATGTCTTGGAAGAGTGCAACGCCTGGCCACAAAAATGATGTTGGGACAAAGAGGCAAGAGCTACGAGTAGAGACTCAAAAACCTTAATCTGTTCTCTCTGGCAAGAAGAGGAATCAGGGGGGATCTTACAGAAGTCTTCAAGGTCATAAACGGTTTTATGATAGGTTCCAATTCATCCCTTCAAGTGGCACTAGGAGACAGAGTTCAAGTCTTCAACGTAGGCTGGACATTCGAGCCAAGTTCTTTACAAATGGAGTAATACTTTACTGGAATAGTCTACCCGAGGATGTGGTAAGTTGCTCGAACGTCATAGCCTTTAAGAGGGCCTTAAATGACTACTGGACGTCTATATTCCCTGAAACAGTTTAAAGGTAAGTACCTATTAGTCCTGAGCGCCATTGTCTAGGACGTGATACTGCGCCTCACATTCTGCCTTTCAGACAAAACCTATTAACTCGCAGTGTTGGAAGCCACAAGATAAGTCAACAACATATCCATCTGGGCGCACGATTGGCCCGGGCCACACATCGTCCTGTGCACACTGAACTAGAGTGAACTGAACTGAACTTGGCTAGTGACATGGTTGAATTCGAGAAACCGGGTTTTATTTGTATCGTATTTGATACTGACTGCCACTCTCAGCCTAACCAGGTTTTCTGTTGTGGATAAACTAAGCCTGATGTGTGTCACTGGGGGACTTTTAATTCAAAATGTGTTCAGTTATTGTTTTATGAACTCATGCCGGAATGTGTCTGATTAGTCAATAACGCAGTTTTCTCCCACCCTATAGCGCAAATGAACGTGTATTTACATTCTGGATACATCATGGCAACAAGTTTGTTTGGTGAATTTTGCGGATGGTAGTCTGACTGACTTCGGTTCGATGCCATATCCTGCACAGTGTATCCAGCCAAAGATAGTCTGAATTTTTAAGGACCAGCCAGGGAGCCGGGAAGCCCTGGTGGAAGCCCTGTCCAAGCAGAGTTTCTTTAAACCTCTGCACCACATTATAGGCTGCCCACCTCGTGATTTCTTCCATCCCTTATCGATGTCTACGAATAGTGCACATTGTGGCAGACGTTGCCCAGGCATTTGTAGGACGTGCCCTAGCCACCTCAGGCGGTGCTGTGAAATTATTTTCCTCAATGGCAGAATATCTCATCCTAGAACACGTCGTCTGACCTAATAGTTATTCACGCGATGCTCCAACAATACGCGAACGATGTTGCCTAGACAACGGTTCTAGAAGACGGATATTCACTGGACGTGATCTCCTCGGAGAGGCCAGGTTTCGCAGCCATGGAGCAGCATCGTGCGTACCGTTGCGCAATACGTGCGCCCTTACACTGAAAGGGATACGTCGCGCCTGCAGTTTGAAGGTGAAGAGGAAATATCATAACGAGTAATCCTAATTGCCAAACGGTTCAACGACTATTAAATCGTTGATGTGTTTGCACCCAGTAGGGTAATATAATCGACGTACTCTAGGTCAACGACTGTTTTCAGAAAGAAGCTCAACGCCAGCGTTCAAGTAAAGCCAAGTCAAGCTTTATGCACCCAATAGGATGAATTTTCGTAACGTTTTTTATAAGTTATTTGACGCGTTTTGTAGAAAAACACCTACTGCAAAGTTGAGGAGAAACAAAGAGATGGGTCAACTCTGTCGCACCCCATTGGTGACAGGAAATGAGGGTGAAAGTTCACAATAGACCCTAACCTTCCTTTAGGTTTGGTGATAGAGTGAGACATACTTATAGGGTACTCCCTATCTCCGCAAACAGATTCACAGTGCGGGGTGATCAATAGGTGTTCAAAAACACAGCAATGGTTTGCCCACTGTATGTTTGGCGGTGTTCTAGTAGCTGACGGAGGGTGTAACCACGGCGTGCAGGAAACCCGGTCTGCTCCTCGCGGCTTCGCTTCACATAAGATGGGCTTAACCTGCGTAGTAAAACGGATGCAAGCAGCTTTGGCGCACAGGAATCAGACTTATGTCCCTGTGGTCGGAACAGGCGTTGCGACAGCCCTTCTTGTAGATGGGTGTAACAATTGATTACCTCCATGTGTGGGGTGCACTTTCAGTTTCCCAAATCTTTGAAAACAGTCACATAAGCTCTCTTACGAGCGCTTCTCTACCATCTTTAAATAGTGCAGGTAGCAGACTGTCTGATCCTTCCTTGTGACGTTTTTAAGTTTAAGCGCAGTTCAGTCAGTACAACGTAACCCGTGGGTTCCTTTTTTGTTTGTATTGAAGCTTTACCCCCATAAAACGAAGAAATTCACCGGTTTGCCGTATTACGCGTCTTTCTGTTGACCCCTTATCTACAGTAAAACCGAATGTAAATACGGAAAAGAATCTGAGATCGGTAAAATCGGTTTGATACGGTTTGAAGGGGACATATAGTACATGACAGTGATTAGCCACCGAATAAACTATTGGTTACCCCAACAGTTTCATTATGCATCTGCCCGATTGCATCATTTAAAGCGGTTACCCTCTCATGTCCGAAATTCAGGGTACTGCAACACAGATCGTATGCCAAACATATCTCTCGCCAAGACGAGACCGTCTCATCAATGGTTCATTTGTGATATGCATCTCACAGCAACCCTTCCCTGTAACAACTCGGTTGCGTGGTAGAGGTACAAATGGGTATAATGTGCTCAGTCCAGTACATGGTATACCAGGGTCTAGATCTAGCAGTAAATGTTTCCTCCAGTATGTGTTTGGTGAACATTGGGACAAATTGTATCCGTCCAGTGTCAAAAATGCCCACGAGTCTCGGGGAGTTGGAAGCCATTGTGTTCCAAACGGTCTCAAATAGAGGGGAAAAATAACCTCGAATGGCCAGGCCAGACGGTCGTTTATATTTGGTGAAATTCTGGAGACAACTTTAAATCCCACTGCATAGTAAGATATTTCCAAACAGAGTAGACTTGTCAGAGTCTCAGAATCGGAATTGGTCAGTTCAATCGCATGACCGCTCTCCTCCTCCAACTCTGTGCTCGACAGGCTCCGACTGTGCGTGTACACTCGATCCCGATAGGTTCCGTGTACAAATCGATAAAGTGAACCAAGTCCGTCAATTAGTTCCCGGAGCGTATCTTGAATACCGATATCCACAAACACATGAATCCCGACCTCCCAGGGAATCATATCATGATGACGTAGAGAACCAACCAGAGTTGGCCCGTTAAGAAAAAATCGATTCCCCAGACCATTTTGAAACATGAGTTTGGAAAATTTGGACAACAGGTTGTGCAACGCAATCCGCTGTCCGTGATCCATGAGCGGTTGGAACATGCGAGCCGAGATCACACTGGCTGACGCGGTCTCACTGAGATCAACCACGGGGAACTTGCGTGTCACAAACAGTGGGGTATAGATTGCGGACAGATTTGGTAACTGATTCATGTGTGTCTGATTCCAATAGGCTGGGGCTAAATACGCGTCAGTTGATAAGTTGCACAATGTGATGGGTGGAATAATTGCAGTGGTGTTATAAGTGGCGAATAGTTCGTAAAGTACAACGGTCATAATCCACATACACAACACAATTCCAATCAAATAAGACAATCTGAATATTGTCCCTCTTCGTAAAAGTGTCCTCAGTTTCAAGAATAGAAGATCTCTTAGTGAAAAGACCATCCCTGGTAGTGAAATCAGTGCAACATTTATGAATACCAAGCTTTTATGACGTAAGTGGGACAAAATAGACTGATATGATACATTCCTTCTGGATTGCTCATAGATTTTGACGGCACTGTAATGCAAGCGGATTGTAAATCAGTAAATCTAGATAAAGAGAAGAAAGAAGGAAGGAAAATTAGTTGACGTACGTATAAATACATGGAATTCAAATAGTATGAACTATGCAATTTATTGGTGTAAGCCATAGTAAGGCAATAAACACATGTTATACTGAATTAATACAGCAAAACGTCTAAAGTACACCGATGAATAATAGCCGTTATGTAAAGAATCACCTAGACAGCAAGCATATCTGCCCATCTGAGCCGATGATAAGGAATCCGACAGGATTCTATGAAATCAGTTTTACATGCGTATATGTTTTGAGGAAGATGAATGAGAACCGAAGATTATGCTATATTCTGTAAATGAAAAAATGAAAAACGGTCTGAGAAGCTGCTTGCATTCTACCCGTCTGTGGTCCCGGATTCGAACTCCAATTTGTTCGATAGACTCGCGCATTGAGATATGGACGGGTCGGAACAGCTGTACGATGCTCCTTAGCTTTTCAGTTCACGCTTCATTTGCTCTCTAAACCCGACGAATTCCTCCTTTGAAATTCAATCACTCAAGTGAGAAGCTCAGTTAGTTCTAGCCGGACCTGCAATTTTTGTTCCAGTAAGCACTGGAAATTTATTACTTTGGATCGAGTGTTCTTTTCCCTTTGGTGAAAAGTAAAGTAAAATGGACGAACATATCATGAAGGAATTCAAATTCTTTAGGTCCTTAATCAAAGGCGTCTTCTACTTTGAAGCATGAATCTATTATGATGAAAGCAACATGAGGTTACTTAGGTAGAGGTGATTGCGTTTTCTATCTAACGGAACATAAATGACCTAATTATGACTATCAGCATAACAGAAATATAAATGGTTTCCATGAATCTTAAAGATAGAATTGCCCATGCTCTCCTTATATATAACCTTTTACCACATTCTTTTACCATGTTTGGCAAGCATCGTAGAAAGAACAATCAGACAAGTGTCGCAAAGAACCGAGAAACACAAGCCAGCCTGGTTGAGTACGGGTTGGCGTAGAGCGATTACAAGTGTAGTAGTAGAACACCTTGCAGACAACGGTCATCAAGCAAACAAAGACGCATTTAAAGTGATTTAAAATGATACCGGGGAGGTGGCTATTTTCCCACTCAATCNTAATCACCTTGTCTACCCTGGCTTCAAGCGAACACAGCCGATCCAAATGTTCGTGACATTTTGTATGACCCAGGGGCGCAGACCGGAAATGAAACAGCTCACTCAACACATTAATCGTGAGCATTTCTGAACAATACAACAACAACAAAAAACGAGAACAAACTCTGTCCTCTCATTTCCACATCCCATATCACAAAATCATAATCAACCGATCATGCACATCGCATCAGACCATTATACTATTTTGACAATTTTGAACCCCATATATAATTGTATTCCGTTGAGGAAGAAGTTATCGAAAAGAAGATTTGCGAATGTTACCTGGTAGCAATCAAGTACTTACTTAATTGAGAGTCATAAAAATCATGACGGGTAGGTAGAATAATTGGTTAGATAAATAACAATATATTGATAACATTTACCACTAGTGTTTTTTAGTTGTCCAAACGTTTTAACAACCGGATATTGTACGATTTGCTCAACTTCATTGTTATCGTTCGAAATGAAAATTCCGTAGAGAGTTTTACATCGTGGAAACTATAATCAATCATAAGTGCGACCAGTGATGGATAGGTCAGTGAAATCCGACAGTCCAATGGCTGGACTAGTTATTCATCTGAATGTGCGATCAATGAAATGCAGTCCGCGTTTTTCGCCGAGTTTTGTGTGTGTGCTTTCTCCTGATCTATTTTATAGTTTGCAATAACAGTTATTACGAGTAGATCTTATGTATGTTAGAAGAAGAGCAGCCAAATGTAAATCCCAGATCAATTCCAACACCCATACTTATGTTGAAAGGCGAAACACATGAGCTATGCCAGGCACTATTACCCAAATTTCTTATCCATGGTTCTGTTTCGCATCGTTTTCTGAGCTGTTATTATAGCATATTCCATTTTGTTGTCTTAATGCTTTGCTTCCGATCACTTATTGTTGTCCCATAGGAACAATCAAGAATTGAGGTATTTTAAAACACATGATGGACCAGAGGAATTTTTTTTTCGCATACCAACTTTCCACAATTTAGACAAAAGCGAAAACAGAGAAAGACATAGCTATTCCGACTAGCCACACCCTCAAAAAGATTTCCTCGGAAAGCACGGCAGTCAGATCAAACGGGGCATTAAAAAACACGCGAGATCTTTTGACTTTTTATTTATCGATCATCGCGATCGGGTCACGTGCTATGGCATGCGTCAAATGATTTCCTGTGTGAACAGACATTTCTAAGCACAAGTATCAGTGCTACGCGTTCTGCATAATTTAAGAAGCTCGCATTGAGCGTGGTTTGGAGACGAGTAGTACATTTTCTACTCGAGAAAAAAGTAGAACATAAACAGTGATCTGTGAAAAGAGGAAGACTGGATTGTTTCGCTATTCTGTAACAGGTTGTGCAAGCTCAATATGATAAAACGGCTTAGACCAAGTCAAATAGTGAAATATAAAGAACTTAGGAAATACGTTACGAAAAAAGGACATAGAATAGCTCACAGTATCATAAAAATGTCCCAGAGGAGGTAATTGAACAACCGCATAAGCATATACACACTAATTTGATGCCCAACTTGTCGTGAGGTTTGTCAGGAACCCTGAAGTTTGCGATCAGTAGTCTTGTATTCATGTGATAAAATGGAAACGTTCTAATGAAAACGGACGTAGATGTAATAATAATAATAATAATAATAATAATAATAATAATAATAATAATAATAATAATAATGTAATAATAGGTTTTAATACACATTTAAATACCATGGAGAGAGTTGATCAACAGTTTCTAAGCTGTCAGTGTGTCTTTTCTTGTGCGAAACGACAGAGCGTTTGATTACAAAAGAATGACAATAATATCAAAAATAATAGAACTACAAAAGCGCTGAGGAACAGTCATTTTTTTCATTTTAAAGTCAGAGATTCGCTTATTGTTGATCAATAACCCTCTCGTAAAATAGTGAACCAGAAAAGGTCAAAATATTTCGTTAAAATTACCGATATCCGACATCACGTAGCCATAGGCATTTGACACGGCATTGACGTCTCGAACGTACACAGAGAGCTCGAATACAACACATGCGCATGAATTTTCATTCCCCCATGCTTCTCGTGTTTGACACGTTTAATCAAATATGATAATCAGGTTGAATACTTAGTAACTTACTTTTAGGTTGCGATAATTACACATCCAAGCACTCCCACTGTCGTTTCAATCGATGAACAAACGCCTGGGATCAAACAAACAGCACACATGTTCCCGATTTTCCTCACTGATTGAATTCTCTGTGAACTATAGGTGCAGGACCATGTCGCCGAACTCCCCAATCAAACCTAAAGTACCTAATGGAGAACACAGGTCCACGAATGTTTCGTTAGAGAAACACCGGGAACGCTCGCTGTGAGAGTACCGAACCGACTGATTGATTGATTGATGGACTTCGATCACTGAGCCAACAAATTACCCTGACCTATCACAGAAGGCACGCGCGGCAAGCCTGCTACCAGTGCTTCGTCATCTAGCTCAGAACGGTTCATCTTCTACTGGACTGAAGGAAGATGAAACGAAATACGTAATTGTGAAATATATAAGAGTTTAAAATGAAAGGATCTGAAGGTGTTAATTGGTATACATGATATTTGCGTGTGTCGAAAATCGGTGGAGGAGTGGTTATGAACGAGTGAATGAAGGACAGTATACCAGCAGAGGTTAGATCGTCAGACTGTAAGTGAATGATCTTGGTCTTTCGAACTATTCTTGTTCCCACCAGGCGTGTGTGTGTGTGGACGGAAATCCAAAAGCCTAATGACTGTGTGACTAGACTCAGTTGATTGTTTCGTATTTGTCGGAGCTCCGGTCTTTGTCCCCCTCTGATGCAAGTTGTTTGGGTCAAGCATCCTGATTCAATCAGACGGACACACGTAACCTGTTCCATGGGAGCAAGTTAATTATTCAACACAAAATGAGATTGCATTCAATTTCAAAACCATTTGCTTGTATAAGGACTTGGACGTGAATAGAGAGCAGAGTTCAATGACAAAGTATGGGCACCTGATAGATGGTTGAATTCGTCTACTCGGTATGTTTGCAACCATTGTCTGTCCACGGGTTGGAGAGAGAGCCTGGTTCGTTGTTTACTCTGCTGTACAACGTCTTTGTTAGATGTGATAACATACTTTTATTTTTACCACTTTACCCCTTTGGCAGCTGGTTGCTTCCTCTGTTCACCCGTTGAGTCGATTATGAAATAATCAATTATTTATAATAATTCCTACATATATATGATATATTATATGTTTAATATTATTAATTCAATTGATGCAACACCAAAAACATGACTATTCTCTAACGCGGGTTTTTATTCAATTGTCGCCTGACATCAAACGTGACAACTAAGATCGAGCTTGGTTGACCACAACTTGTTTTCACTTTTCTCACTATCGTACCCACAGACGGGTACAAGTCAAATGTAATTGCCGAAATCGTATATTCAAATTTCCGACCAAATCAAGCAAAGATATTGCTTTGGTACACAGTCAGATGCCTGCCCATTTGTCGAACGTACAACGGACAAATAGAATGGGGAGGCATTTAGGTGGATTACATGGGCAAAATGAACTTTGATCACGGTCCGGATGTGACACTGAGCCGGA